CCCCAAAACCCCAAAACCCCACACTGCAAAATATCAAAAGATAAAAATCTTTTGATAAACAAAAAATATACCATTAATAAAATTTCATGGCGTTTATAAGATATTTCTGAATCATGGCTGGAAATGAATAATTAGAGATGATTAAACTTTCATTAAAAAAGTGATGATTAGTCAAGAGGCTTATGAAAGAATTAATGTAGTCAATCAATCACTTACTCACTGTAGTCTAATCTTTCTCCAGTCACTGACTTCGTTTCCCCCTTGATTAATGATATCATGTTCTTCTTTGCTGACAGGCAGTCTTCTAGCTCTGTGAGATTCAGATTATACTACAGTCACATTTGGAGATAATGCTTTCAATGTCTAGGTGCTACTAGCTGCAGCAGTCTAAGTATTATGAGTGCTGGCATTTGATGATGCTGATTGCTAACTAAATAACCCTACAGATTTATTTGCTACAAAAATAGATTAAGATGAGGTAGTGATTTTTACTCTTAGATCTGGGACCAACAAACTTGATTGATGGAGTGTGGAGTGATCTTCTTGTGAGGAACATTGCAGCTGCTGAATAACTAGACTTCACTTAGATAAGGCCTCTTGATAGTTTCTAAGATTGCATCATATTATTTTATTATTATTGATAATCAATTTATAATTAAGAATATAATTTTAATTTCAAATAAAGAAACAATCATGGACAAAGATTAAAAGGTCAAGGACGATATTGTCGATGATGAAGAGGAGCAGGAAGAGGAAGAGGAGGAACAAGTCAGCTAGGAACAGCTAGATGAATACCTCCTTAAAGCTTGCAAGGAAAACAATGTCGAGGATGCTCAGTTCTTCCTGTCAAAGAACGCCTCTCCAACAGTTGAAAAAGATGGTTGGAATCCTCTTCTATGGGCTGCTTCAAATGGCAATGAGCAAATAGTCAGACTTTTAATCAAAGCTGGAGCATGCAGTCCTTATCTCAATCAGAATCAAGAGGAAATGGCTATGGCTGCTGCTTAGAAATTAAATGCTGGTGGCGGCGGAGGTGGAATGATTGGCGACGAAGTTTATGATCCTTTTGTGAAACCGAAAGACGCTTAAAAAGTCGGAAAGTACACTCCTCTTCACTGGGCTAGTTATAAGGGCCATTATAAGGTAGTATGGATTTTGCTAAAAGAGAAGATGACTCCCCTAGATATTGATATGCATGGAAATACTGCAGTGCATCAGTCAGCAGCCAGTGGTTCAAAGAAAGTATTAGAATGCTTCCTCTCCAGAGGAGTTGATGTAGATATTAAAAATGCAAGAGGGCACACACCATTGGACCTTGCCACTTAGACAGAAGTTAAAGATTTAATTTTGAAAGCTATGAACACCAAGAAATGTGTGATCTGCAAATCAAAGTTTGATTTCAAGAACATCAGATATTACTGTGAATCATGCACAAGATTTTTGTGCATCTAGTGCTCTCAATCGCAATGGGTGTATGAGTCAGTTGAAAGCGAGGAGAGAGAAAGACCAGTCTGCAGATGCAATGACTGTCTCAACAAGATTAGGAAGAATGAGGAAGAACTCGCATCAGCTTTGAAGACCATGGAGTATTAAACAGTAGATAAAGTCTACACCTTCATCTTCAATAATGCAATAGACATTGATGTGAAATTGAAGCACTCTGCAATGGTAATGCATTTGAAGCTCGATAAAGAGTTAGACATTAAGAACTTCATAAAGTCCGTGGACTTTGTTGAGGACTACAAGACCATTCTTAAGTCAGTTAAGATTCTGAATGATAAGGTGGAGGCTGCTCGTAACCTCGGCGTTGAACTTGATATTGGTCTGGTTGGAGAAGTTAATAAGTGCACTTCAAGATTGATCTCTGAAAGAAATCTAAGATTCCATATGGAAATGACAAAGATACAAGAGAGTGATCATGACTAAGTAGAGCGCCTGAAAAGCTTGATTGAAGTTGCCCAAGAAAATAGTGTTGCTTAGTAATACAGAGATCATGCTGAAAAGTTAAGTTAATAAATGAGTGGTAACATTAAGGCAAGAGAAATTCTTTAGATGCTGCTTGATTACCCAGAGCGTGAGTACCCAGTCCCCGAGCCAGTGGATCCTAAGAAGAAGGGCAAGAAGGCTGATGAAAAAGAAAAGAAAAAGAAAAAGAAGAAGAAGGAGCCACCCTTCCCAATTCCTGAATGGGCTAATGAACTTGAAGCTGTATAGTCTTAAGTTCATTCTATGGAAAATCTCCTGGCTGATGCTGAAAATTTATCTTTGAATCTAGAATTCATCCAAAGAGTAAACTCCCAACTGCAGAGATTTAAGAAAGAAATTAATTTCAGAAAGCAGGCAGAAGAGGAAGCAAGGATAGAGGCAGAGTTAAAAAAGTTGAAAAAAAAGAAGAAGAAGTGACACATTATCATCCCAGCACAGCCTGCAATTCATATAAATTTATATTATTTAAGGTTTATTCTATCCAGCTGATCTCATTCAAACGGGGTTTTGGGGTTTTGGGGTTTTGGGG